GTGGCGGGCACGGGGGGCTGGGGCAGGCCCGGGCGCAGGCTGCTTTGCGGTGGGCGGGCACGGGGAGCTGGGGCAGGCCGGGCGCAGGCTGCTCTGCGGTGGCAGGCACAGGGAGCTGGGGCAGGCCGGACCCAGGGCCCGCACTCACAAGCCCTCGCTCGCTCGCGCAGTTAACACACTGGAGTGCGTGAAGCTGCCTGGGCCCGTGGGGCTGACTTTTCCTGGGACCCTCCAAAGCAGGAAGCTCCTCACGCAGACAACTCGGCACAGGCCCGGGAAGGGGGGGAAGGTGCCCAGAGAGACGGACAAGTGGCCACAGGAGTCACAGAGAGGCCGCTGGAACCAGCACAGGTAGGAAGGCATAGCGGTAACCAGCTCACTGCGGAGGCCGAGTGTGGACTTGCTTGAGTGAGAGACTCCTGGGGGCCTCACCGTTTCGTGGGTTTTACCTCCAGGAACCCCATCAGGTTCTCACAGTGAGGACTGGGGAGGAGTCCCCTCTGAGTGACAGGGGAGGGCAAGCCCCAATCTGAACCACAACGAACAAACATCAAGCACTGGCTGAGTTCCCAGCGTTGGCAAGGCACCGGGAGAGCTGGGGGGGTCACCACAAGAGGGGGTGTGTGGCTCTCGCTCCTGCTTCCGGGGCTGTGCAACCAGCTGAGGAAATCCAGCCTCGCTCTGCGCAGTCAGGGAAGACTTCTCGGAGGAGGAAGTGCCAAGTCAGTTCTTAAAGGATTAGCAGGAATAAGCCAGGAGGAGGCAGGAGAAGACACCACAGGTAGAATTAAATGTAGAAACAAAACTCAATGCATATGTCTTGGACACTGACGTTCCATCCACGTCTGGAGCGTGGGGGTTGGGGCTTGTGTCCCTGGACCCCGGGAGGAGGTTGGCCCCTCCTCCTTGCTCTGGGCTGGGGTCCCGGCAGGTCTGCGAACAGACAGGAGTAAAACGTCGGTTCCATTCTTGGCCCTGGAGTGCTGGGGTGCGATGGTGCAAGCACACACGTGTGCAAGGACACAGGGTCTGCACGAACAAGCCCTGATGTGACCCACGCTTGCATTTGCACATACACAACCTGCACACGCAAATGTTCCACACGGCACCAGGTCCTGCATCCACACCACGTTCGCTGAGCTTTAACCCTAGAGCAGTGGTTCCCAACCTTTTTTGGCCACGGCCCACCTGAGTATATCTAACATCCTGATGCCCCCTGTGAC